CATTTAAAACCTAAAAATAGTACTTTTACTTTTTTACTTTAAAATTTAACATCTAGTTATTCGTTACCTCCGCCAAGGGCGAGGTAATGTTTTCGGTCACGTATGTCTGTCGTTCTGTCTGTGGACAACATTACTCAAAAACATGTGGACGGATTGTCATGACATTTTTAACACATGTGGGTACTGGGCCAAGGAACACATCTTTAAATTTTGGTGATGTTCCAGATCACGATGCGGATACATGAATTTTTTTTCTTTTAACACTCTGAGATCGGCAAAGCTGTGATGCTTTCACAGGGCTTCTGTAAAAAACAGTGAGCTGGATTGGACAGCACGGACTTCAAACTTTATAAAAGTAATGTTAAAACCACATTTAATGATTAATTATTTTTGACATAATGTGCACATTTACAGAATGTTTTGTGACCAGAAAGTGCATGACTGCACCATGAAACCTATTTTTCCCATTTCCTCAAACACACCACATTTCCCAAACAACCAATCAAAGCAGTTTCTTTCTACTAGGCTTGTAAACAGAGAGCTGCCGGGCCTCAAAGTTTGGAGACGGGGGGAGTCAGGAAGCACTTTATAAAGACAGTCAAACCATTACAAACTCATACAAGGGGATAAAACAGACGTTTTACATGGTGAAATGTGACTGATGAAAACTTAGGAGCTTAATCCCACACCAGTTTGATGATGAATAACGTCGGGTGACGAGTCTGACTTTTTTTTTCCACATTGGACTCCATCGAGAAGAAACCCCGTGCATACTGCTGCTTAAATGTTCACTACGTCAGAACTTATTCAGCAAATGTGTTTCCATCTCTGCTTTTACACATCAACTCTTACAGGATGGGGGAAATTGGTCTTAGCGGAGGTTTGCACTCTCCGAGTGCTTCTAGTTACAATTTAAATCTGTCTGAACTCATCATGAAAGGAGTGGTCTAAAAATATGAAGTATTACTCAACTAAGTCATGTCAACTTGTTCCACTAAACCTAGWAGAGTAAATATGAAGCATTTTACATATTTTCTCAACTTGGCTTAGTGGAACCAGTTTGGTTCATCCCTTAACAGTCGCCCCTGAAATTCCTCCAAAGCCTTTTGACGTTTTTAATATTTTTTGTAAGAGTGTCAAACTAAAGTTAAGAACCAGAGGAAGTAGTCTGACACCCTAGTTTTCAAAATAAAAGCCCCCAGTAGCGTCTGGAAACATTTAAAGGCAGAAATCGCACAGTTTTTCCATTTTTGCCTATGTTTTACTTCAGTACTTTTCTCACCGGTGAAATAATTTTCTACACTCATTTTCTGTTAAGGTAGTTTTACTTTTACTTAGTAATTTATAGATCTCTGTCCAAAACACCTTTCACAAAGTATGGTTTAGGAGCATGGGAGGAAATTTTAATTCCATTGAACTCACCATGTGTGACTCCTAGGAAGCCAGTTTTCTTTTCCCACCTTTTCAACACAGAATTTCTGAGCGCCATTGCTTCCTATAAAAAAAAAACAAGTCAACACTAACATGAGTGACAGTTAAAATGAACTTAAAGTAGATATATCATGCTTTTAAATCCTTCCTTTTCATATTTAAATCATTCAGTTGGGTCTTTATAAAGTGGAACTAAAATGCTTTTGTCTGAATTCCTCCTTATTTTAACTTTACCAGCCCCTCTTTCACCCCTTTTCTGATGTGGGCCTCAAAGCAGCTGTTCCTTTAAAGTGCCTGTGACATTAAATTTACGTGACATATTTGATTGTATATTTGGAAAGATAACATTAATGATGAATTGCAAACAAAAGTTCACGACACTGAAATGAACAGTTGTTGAGATATTTGCATGAGCAGAAACAGGAAGTGACGTCAAAGGGGAATGCCTTAATGAGCTGTTACAACAGCTAACAACAAAGAATCAGATGTTTCTGTAGATTTTTTGAGTCAATATCTGATAGATAAAGAAGAGTCAGATTTTTAAAGACCAGGAAGTTACCCTTTTATTTAAAGAGTTCCCCTTTGACATCACTTCCTGTTTCACTTGGACTGCACCAAATTTGGCAAAAAACATGCACGTTTTGTGACAAACTAGGTAAAAATCAGATGAATGATGCCAAATTTCTAAAATATTAGGATATTTTCTTTAATTTTTTGTAACTGAAGAAAAAGCATGTCACAGGCATTTTAAAACGCTTCAAGCCCCGCCCCCCTCCGGCTTCCAGACCGGTCCATTCCGGTTTGAGAGAGGGAGCTAACGTTTTCTAGCTTGCAGAAACGGTTTATTTACAATTTAAGTAAAAGATGTTAACCTGTCCATCCAGCCTTACATGTTGGAGCCAGACTCTGACCCAGAACCAGAGTCTGACCCAGAACCAGAGGAGAATTAAGACAAAGAAAATGTAGTCAGTAAGTCCAGACCATATATGGTAATTCCGTCGCAGATTATTCGACGTAATAGTTCAGAAAAGGTCACAGTAAATAGACTCCAAGTACATAACRAAATGCATTTAACAGCTAAAAAAGGTGGATTTTGCATATGTCCCCTTTAAAATAAAAACCATGGTATGATCTCAAGGCAAGCTACGCAGATTGYAGTTTCAAAGCTGAAAAATTAAAGGCAATAAAAATACAGTGAAGCATGAAAAGTCCAACATAAAGTAGAAAATATTTTTTTTGGAATTTTGTATATTGTGATGCTGAGCACTGACAAACTGCTGCATTTTGTTAAAGAAGCTAAAATTAAAAATTTTAAGTTAAATTAATGAGAACAAAAGCAAAAATGAGCAAAACCTAAAAGCAGCATTTAGTATAAGAGTTGCTAAGTATTTACACAATAAAGAAAAGATGTATAATTTTGTACAAAACCAAATGAAACCAATCATTTGGTTTGACTTTATTTCCAGGTCACAAGCTAATCATTATTTATTATCTATAAAATATATCACGTTAAACTTGTTGTTTTTTAATGCAACTCTTACCCATAAGATCAGCAAAGCCTCCCACAGGAAGGCGACAGGTTCCAGTTACAAACTGCAGCAGCCTCATCCTCTTTTCATTATCCATTTCCTTCACCAACTGCAAACACAAAAACAAGAGGTTTAACCCTTTTAAATATCTCCAGAATGATCGATTCACACAGATCGTCAACATTAMAGTCTTCATATACTGTATGTTACAGTTTAAAACAAACCAAATAACATTTTGTTGTCTGTTTAAATCCACATCACAATAAAATCTAAATTCAAATGCTGACTTTAGTGAGCATCAGATTCTCATTGGGTCTTTAAAATACTRTATTTAAAAAAAAGTTGTAAATAAATGTGATGAGTGTGCAGTTTTTCCACTGACCTGCCAGAACCAGATGATCTGTTTACTGGTCTTTGTGTAGTGTCTGTAGATGGTGTGCCTCTGCCAGTCGCCAAGATCGATTTCCTGCATGCCACACAGCATCACCTGTACGAGAAAGACACGAGGATTTCAGGAAACAAACACAGAGCTCTTCTGTGACTTCTACAGCGCTGTGCAAAAGTCTTGAGTTATCCCTCATCTTTTGTTTTTAAATATTTTTAATTTGAAGCAGACAGATTTTCTTCTTAACTGGACTTAAGAAATATGTCACCCATCATATCGAAATGAGGATTAAGTCAAATTTGGTCAAAATGACCTAATTACATTTTCATATTATTGGCTTTMAAAGCTACATTTTGACACCTGAATCATTCTGATATCATTATTGAATCCATTCACAGTATATGACTTAATTTATCTTGTTGGTTACAATAATACTGTACATAAATATTCGGTCTGAATCCTGATTTTAGGTCATTTTATTGAGGAATTTTTGATGTCCTTATAAAG